GCGACGGGAATGAGGGGGAGGGGGGTGAGAGGCAAGGAAGGAGAGAAGGTCGCTCGATTTTCTATTGAATAATTGATGGGGCCAAGTTGACTTTTTTTTTTTTATTCAGACTGGAACTAAATTTCTTTAGTTTTTGGTTCTGAAGAATTTAAAAAAAAAAGTAAGATTTGGTATCTCGTGGAATTTTGCTGTTTGCGTAAAAATTTTTTTTATGTTGTGGGGGGGGGGGGTTGTTAGGGGATGTTAGATTCTTGGTTAACGGTTTTTGGTTTTGAATTCTTTGAATTGGCAGAGTGCAAAGTAGCCCGAGGCAGAAACGACAGTTGACGCCCCAGACTCTCGGACACAATTGAGATTAGTATTAAAAAAAAAAGGGAAAACGGAAATAATACTAAAAAGATTGTCGGCTAGGGTCCAAGGGTAGTTTACAATGTGGGAGGAATTTCATAGGGACCCTCCGAGTGCTTTTTTTTGCATTCCCTTTCTCTCTGGCAATTTCGCCTCCTTCTCTTTTGGCTGCTGACAGTTCGACGCGTGTACCGTGCCCGCGCGTGCGCATTGTCGGGGCACTTCCGGTAACCGGATATCGCCAGCCGCGGGACACATTGACATTAATTTATAAAATATTCGCGGCGACACCCACCAGCACCGCCCAGTCAGACAATGAGGTACAGGAGCCCTGGGTCCGGCTGTGTTTCAACCCCTGTGTCAACACTGGCATCGACAGACACGAATTTGCTGGCTTCCATTAGGATCGAGTGCTGTAAGAAAGTAAGTTAGGAGTAAAAAAAAAATCATCCCCTAAGAAAAATTTTCTTAAAATTTACGAGTACCCCGGCGAGTCAAATTTAAACTGTGAAACGAACTTAGGAAAAATAGGGGTGGCTTTTAAGACTTTATTGGGACAATAAGGGGGGTAGTACTGCTTTTTTTCAGGGGTGCCGAACGGCGTATCGACATTTCACCCTATCGTCGCTTCAAATTTCAGTTTCAGACCAGTGCCACGTGTGTGCCGTTCGCCATGTAGTAACGCACTAAGGGTAGCTATATATATACATATATACACGACTGTAAGAAGGGGTTGATAATATGAATAAAGAAAAGGGGCAAAAAGACCTTAGACCAGGTTGGCTTTGTAGCCTCTTGCTGATCGCATTGCGTGTCTCTTATGTCGTCGGAGCACCCAGGTCTTAGAAGAATACCAACCCTTAGAGTTCATCCCCTCGCGGAGGGTTCGGCTTAACGTTAACGTATTACGGATTAACTTGGCTGGTTCCGTTAGCCGAGTGTCTTGGCTGGGCATCGAGGAACGAAGGAGGAAGTGAGAGAGAGAAAAAAGGCGCAAGAAAACAAAAGGCAAGAAGAAGAAAAAGATAAGGTGAAACGGATGGGGGTGGAGGAGGGGGGAGGGAGGGAGATGAAAATTAATGAGAATTTCCAAGGGAAACAGGTATAAGGGAACACGCGACTCTAATGTAATTCATGCATGGCTCTGTTTGCAGAAAACCTGACCTACCGACAGTTTATTCTTGTAATTCTCTTAATGAGCGGCTGTTAATTACCTTAATGAATAACAGAAATCCAATCAGCTTACCAGTTGCACCGAAGGATCTTTGCTCTTGCTGAGAGGGACACGGAGTTTTATAAATTCGTGTAAGCCCCTTGGGAGTCCTTTGAACCTGAAGAATTTTTAGGTTTGGATTTGAGGTTAGGTTGGGCTGAGACACTTTTACTGTTAATTCCTAAAGGAAATCATGTACGTGTCTTTTTTTTGCACCTGCAATTCCACCTTTGTTACAACATTTTTCCAGCTTGTCTCCCTAGATACCGTACTAACCTCACGTATGATATCTACATATGAGTTCTTACGGATAAGACCTGCGATTGTTTCTGCGAATCCCGAGGTGCCTGAAGAATTTTTAGATTTGGATTTGAGGTTAGGTTAGGCTGAGACACTTTTACTGTTAATTCTTAAAGGAAATCCTGTACGTGTTTTTTTTGCACCTGCAATTCCATCTTTGTTACAACATTTTTCCAGCTTGTCTCCCTAGATACCGCACTGACCTCACGTATGATATCTACGTATGAGTTCTTACGGATAAGACCTGCGATTGTTTCTGCGAATCCCGAGGTGCCTGAAGAATTTTTAGATTTGGATTTGAGGTTAGGTTGGGCTGAGACACTTTTACTGTTAATTCTTAAAGGAAATCCTGTACGTGTTTTTTTTGCACCTGCAATTCCATCTTTGTTACAACATTTTTCCAGCTTGTCTCCCTAGATACCGCACTGACCTCACGTATGATATCTACGTATGAGTTCTTACGGATAAGACCTGCGATTGTTTCTGCGAATCCAGAGGTGCCTGAAGAATTTTTAGATTTGGATTTGAGGTTAGGTTGGGCTGAGACACTTTTACTGTTAATTCCTAAAGGAAATCATGTACTTGTTTCTTTGCACCTGCAATTCCACCTTTGTTACAACATTTTTCCAGCTTGTCTCCCTAGATACCGCACTGACCTCACGTATGATATCTACGTATGAGTTCTTACGGATAAGACCTGCGATTGTTTCTGCGAATCCAGAGGTGCCTGAAGAATTTTTAGATTTGGATTTGAGGTTAGGTTGGGCTGAGACACTTTTACTGTTAATTCCTAAAGGAAATCATGTACTTGTTTCTTTGCACCTGCAATTCCACCTTTGTTACAACATTTTTCCAGCTTGTCTCCCTAGACACCGCACTGACCTCACGTATGATATCTACGTATGACTTCTTACGGATAAGACCTGCGATTGTTTCTGCGAATCGCGAGGTGCCTAGCGTGTGTCGTGTGTCATTAGGAAAGCAAGTAATTTTATGTTTGGTTAATGACAGCTTCGTTCTTTAACGGAATACTAATGACAATAGGTGCGCTGGGATTTTGGATAGGATTAATAAGACATAAGGACGACCGTATTCTTGTATACGGTGTGTGAAGAGAAATAGTGATCTTTAATGCTTGTACAGTCTTAGGTAAAAATTGTTGCGGTTACCTAATCAAATTATTATTCTTATTTAAAATCGTATAGCAATTTACTTCGTACGAGTATTTTGTGTTTGGTATTAATTTTCATTTTTGGATTATTTATTTAATAATTTTTTTTTCAGACCTTTTTTATATTCTCTTTGAGTTGTCACTCGGTACTCTTTGCTCACCCTGTATTATCGCGTGGTGTGACCATCACTCGCGTGGGCTCGTGTCTTTACAGGCCGCTTCCGACCTTCGTAACAATTACTTGCAATTAAAGTTGTCGCGGCAAAGGCCGACGACGAAATTCAGGGACTTTTGCGTTTACGGGCTACGTGATATTAATACGTAAATATATATGTATATACAGTGTAAGGATGCAGTATAGGAAAGTATATAGGATTAGGGGTAGTTTCCGTATTTTTTTTTTTTTTTTTTTTTTTGAAAAA